AATTAAAAAAAAAAAAACATTTTATTCATGGGAACAATTGACACTGTGGACTGCTAGAAAGAGGAGGGAAGGAGGAGGGCATAGGTTGAAAAACTACCTAATGGTAACTATGCTCACTACCTGGATGCAAGAAACCCATGTAACAAACCTGCACATGTCCTCCTGTATCTACAAAAAAGTTGAGAGAGAGAGAAAAAAAAAAAAAGCTGTTTTGTTAATGCTGCCAGTGACTGATCCCAGGCAAGGTAGGCAAAATCTAACCCTGCTCTCTAAGTAAAATGATTTGGCACCAGAGTAGAGTTCTTCAAATTAACTGAGGAAGACAGACCTCCACGTTTCAGCCCTTTTTTTAGCTTTTGGCATCCCGTAAAGTGAACAGGATATCCCCTGAAGAAATCCCACGAGAGGTAGAGGCCGTCACAAAGTACGGAACAATCTCCACAGCTCTGCCTACACTGCTGGGACCAAAATAGTTCACATGGCATTCCTGCCGCCTCCTTGTGAACTGTGTGGGAAGGAACGCTGGTCACGAATTCTTCGTTTCAACCACCCCCACACACCAGGACAGCAGCAGCAACAGCAGTGACATCTTGGAATCTAGAGAACAGCACGTGGTAGGCTGTACATCAAATCTTCTCTGCATCATGTACCATCTTCCTCCAAAATTAGAGGTTTTAAACAAATGTAAAGAAATTGAAAATGATTTTTTAAATTAAGAAATAAAATGGGAACAAGTTGAGTATAGCAGAGTATCAACTAAAGAAAAAAAAATCAAGCTTTTAAAGAATTAAGCTTAGTTTTATTCAGAAGTCTCACTGAATTTTTTGAGGCCAGGAGTTCTAGACCGGCCTGGGAAACAAAATGAGACCCCATCTCTACAAAAAAATTTAAAAATTGGCTGGGCACAGTGGCTCATGCCTATAATCCTAGCACTTTGGGAGGCTGAGCTGGGCAGATCACAAGGTCAGGAGTTTGAGACCAGCCTGGCCAATATGGTAAAACCCGCCAAGCGCGATGGCATGCACCTGTAATCCCAGGTACTCAGGAGGCTGAGGCAGGAGAATTGCTTGAACTCAGGAGGCAGAGGTTGCAGTGAGCTGAGATTGTACCATTGCACTCCAGCCTGGGCAACAGAGCAAGACTCCATCTTAAAAAAAAAAAAAGAATTAGCTGGGCATGGTGGTGCACACCTGTAGTCCCAGTTACTCAGGAGGCTGAGATGGGAAGATCACTTGAGCCTAGGAGGTTGAGGCTGCAGTGAGATGAAATTGTGCCACTGCATTCCAGATCATGCCACTGCACTCCAGCCTGGGTGACAGAGCAAGACCTTGGGGGGAAAAAAAAAGAAGGAAGGAAGGAGTGAAGGAAGGAAGGAGGGAAGGAAGGAAGGAGGGAAGGAAGGGGGAGAAAAAAAGAGAAAGAAAGAAGGAAGGAAGGAAGGAAAGAAAGAAAGAAGAAAGAAAGAAAGAAAGAAAGAAAGAAAGAAAGAAAGAAAGAAAGAAAGAAAGAAAGAAAGAAAGAAAGAAAGAAAGGAAGGAAGGAAGAAAGGGAAGGAAGGAAGAAAGGAAGGAAGGGAAGGAAGGAAGGAAGGAAGGAAGAGGGAAAAAAAAAAAAAAGAAGAAAAAGAAGGAAGAAAAGGAAGAAGGAAGAAAGAAGAAGAAAGGAAGGAAGGGAGGGGGAGAGGGAGGGGAGGGAGAGGGAGGGAAGGAAGGAAAGGAAGGAAAGAAAAAAAAAAAAGAAAAGAAGGGGGAAGGAAAGAAAAAGAAAAGAAGAGAAGGGAGGAGTAAGAGGGAGGGAGGGAGGGAGGGAGGGAGGGAAGGAAGGAAAGGAAAGGAAAAGAAAAAAGAAAAGAAGGGAAGGGAAAGAAAAGAAAAGAAGGGAAGGTAAGGGAAGAGGAAAGAAGGAAGAAAGAAAGAAAAGAAAAAAAAAAAAGAAAAGAGAAGAAAAGAAAGAAAACCCTCTAGGGAAACTAGAATTGTTGCTGAGTCTGTGAAGCAAACTCTCTCAAGATTAAGAGAAAGAAGACAGGAAAAATAAGAACAAGAAAGAAGGGAGAAAAAAATTAAAATGACATGTGCCAGAGACAAGGAAATGTGGTTTCTTTTTCCCTCTTTAGGTGACAATGAGCAGATTCTAAAATAACTTAGGTAACTAGGCATACAGTTGAGGACATGCTCTAGATAACAGAGTTGCCTGTAGGCACTGAGAAGCCTGAGGATCAATGGAGATCCCTGAAGTCTCAGGGCATGGTGACTCCTGCTTGTAATCCCAGCACTTTGGGAGGCTGAGGCTGGAGGATTGCTTGAGCCCAGGAGTTGGAGACCAGCCTGGGCAACACAGCAGACCTCATCTCTAGAAAAAATTTAAAAATTAGCCAGGCATGGTGACATGTGCCTGTGGTCTCACCTACTCCGTAGGCTGAATTTTGGATCACTTCATCCCAGGAGTTCCAGGCTGCAATGCCATGATCACGCCACTGAACTTCAGCCTGGGTGACAGAGCAAGACAGGCCCATGGCCCAGGAGCAGTTATCTCAGATGGCTCCAAAGCAGCGTTTCAGTTCACAGTTCATGTGCAGGTGGTGAAAATTCAGTATTTGCAAAATCACATCAAACTTATGCCTAAATTACATTAAATCAGAATCACATCAAGGTTCGGGGGTAAGAGATACTCCTGGTTATAGATTGTAGACACATCATCACTACCCCCATCAGATGTTATCTTATATGCAATTAAAGGTAAGGACTAGGGTCATTTATCGTTTAAGAAACATAGTGACTGAAGCAAGACATGTGGGGGAGCCGTGTGCTCTGTCCTGTCTTTCCCTCTGGAGAGCTGCTCTGTCCTGCATTTCCCTCTGGAGAGCTGCTGTATTCACCACAGAATCAAGGGTTCAAGCAGAAATTAGCAAACCGGGCTTCTTAGGTTTGCTGCTGTAGCTCACTAGAGTATGGAGCCCAGATCACAAGCATCTCACGTACCAGGTTTTAAAAGTGTGGACTTTGGCCAGGCACGGTGGCTCATGCCTGTAATCCCAACACTTTGGGAGGCCGAGGCGGGCGGATCATGAGGTCAGGAGATGGAGACTATCCTGGCTAATACGGTGAAACCCCGACTCTACTAAAAATACAAAAAATTAGCCGGGCATGGTGGCCGGCACCTGTAGTCCCAGCTACTCGGGAGGCTGAGGCAGGAGAATGGCGTGAACCTGGGAGGCGGAGCTTGCAGTGAGCCGAGATCGGGCCACTGCACTCCAGCCTGGGCATTAGAGTGAGACTCCGTCTCAAAAAAAAAAAAAAAAAAAGAAAGGGTGGACTTCATTATGGCAATGGGGAGGCTTCGAGGTATTTTAAACCAGAAGGTAACACAATCCATTTAATATTTTGCTTGTTAGCAACTGTACAACTACTTACAATCTGGCTGATAGAAAAATACTAAAGAGTGGTTGTACCAGGCTTGATTGGTTCCCCTCCCCCATGCCCCATGGCATTCCCACTCATCCTGGTTGGTAGAGCTCACCTCTCACTAGGCGGGAAATAGCCAAGAATCACTTTCCCAGCCTCCCTTGCTGGTAGAACATGGGCATGTGACCCAGTCCCAGCCAATGGGATCTGAGGTGAAAGGATGCAGGGAGGATTCTGGAAAAGGCTTTCCTCCCTCAATGGACAAGGCCCGTACCGCAGGGATAGCAGAGCAGAAAGGTGGAAGTGACGACATAATAGAACCACATAGAGACACATTCCTCTGGAGACAGCAGATACTTATTGTTTAAGCCACTTTTATTTGGATATTCTGTTACTTGCACCTTAAAGCATGTGAAGAGAAAGAAGCATTAATGAAGTCACCAATATCAATTAATGTGATGTTATAGAAAACTTATCAGACCAGGCATGGCAGCTCACACATGTAATCCCATCACTTTGGGAGGCTGAGATGGGACAACTGTTTGAGGCCAGGAGTTCTAGACCAGTCTAGGAAAAATAGCGAGACCCTGTCCCTACAAAAAAATAGAAAAATATTAGCCAGGACCGGGTGTGGTGGCTCACACCTGTAATCCCAGCACTTTGGGAGGCCAAGACAAGGGGATCACTGGAGGTCAGGAGCTTGAGGCCAGCCTGGCCAACACCGTGAAACGCTGTCTCTACTAAAAATACAAAAAGTAGCCAGGCACGGTGGTGTGAACGTGTAGTCCCAGCTACACAGGATGCTGAGGCAGGAGCATTGCTTGAACCCAGGAAGTGGAGGTTGCAGTGAGCTGAGGTTGTGCCACTGCACTCCAGCCTAGGCAAGAGAGAGAGAGACTCTATCTAAAAAAATAATAATAAAAAAATAAAAAAATAAAAAAATAAAAAAATTAGCTGAGCATGGTGGCATGCACCTGTATGTAGTCCCAGGTGGGAGGATCACTTGGGCCCAGGAATTTGAGGCTGCAGTGAGTCAAGATCACACCACTGCCCTCCAGCCTGGGCAACAGAGCAAGATCCTGTCTCAAAAAATAAAATAAAATGTAATATAACAAATGGAGACCTTTTTCCTTCAGATATTTATTTGAAGTAAACCAGCCTCTTAAAATTGGGAATAGTTAACTACAATTGTTAGCTGTTCACTGAACATCTCGAGTGCTTAAGCAAGAAACTACACAGTTTCTGAGATGACATGTCTCGCTTTTTCTCACATGTGAAATGACTTTTTCTCACTCTTTTCTCTCATTTGCACATTTCCCCTAAGAAACACTGAAAACTGTCCCTGCTCCCTTCTAGGCAGCAATTCTCTTTTCTTGAAGGTCTCTTTTTCATGAAGACATGGAAGTCAAAGCACATTATCTAAGAAAAACCTCAGCACTGTGTAAACAAAAGAAGGCAAGTATCAGGCTTCAGGCAGCAGTATAGAATCATGGTCTTTTTAAAGTGAGAAATACCTTACAGATCATTTGTGGTCACATATTATTTGAATACAGGTAAAACCAGAACATCTCGTTAGAGTTCTTAAGATGAATAACAACATTTATCTCTCATCCTAAATTCATATATACAGTAGCTGGCAACTTTTCCGCAATTCCACCTGGTGCCATCTGAAGAAAACCCAATCCAGTCATCGCACATTGGGGTCCTACGGTCTACCACATTCCTCATTCGACGAATATTTACTAAGGATGTATCAAGCACTGGCACTGAGATTTAATCGCTCTGATCTTTTTTGCTCATATTGCTTACAATATTTCTGGGAACTCATGACTTTTTCATATGCAATCAATTTTTAAAATATCAGTGAAAAACACTACATATGTGATAGAGGACCGGAATTGCCAGGTAGAGATGGGAGATGGTAGCTGCTTTGGGTTAGTCAGTGTCTCCTCCTTTTCCATTGACTTGGACAAATGTTTACATCGGAGATGATCTGATTCTGGCCCCGACAAGCGCGGGCACCCGTTGCGGAGGGCCGCCGGGATTGCCCCCTGGGCAGTGCAGCCCGGAGGATGCAGACACTGGCCCGGCGGGAGGAGAACGTGCGGCCCTGGGAGGCCGCAGATCGCCGGTCTCCCCGCCGACACCTCGCCTCGGAGGAGAGGAGGCCGCGCCCGGCCTGGCTGGAAGCACCTGCGGCCGCGCGGGGGCGGGAGCCAGGTGGCCTCGGCGCGCCAGCCTCACCCGGGCACCGAGCAGGAAGTGGCTGCGGCGCTGCCCGGGCGCGGCCTCCTCGCAGTGCAACCGGGCAGGGAGGCGGCCGCAGCGCGAGCCGGAGTCTGAGCGCCGGGAGCGAGACCTCATGGCAGCGTTGGCGCCCGCGGGCCCCGGGGACGCCGCCTCGGCCGCCCTGGACGAGCTGTCACTGAATTTCACGTACGGGGCGCCAGGCGCCGGCAACGGCTCCCTCTCGGGCGCCTGGTACCGCAGGAACCAGGTAAGGGCCGCCCCGCAGCTCCCGCAGCCCGGTGGGGACACGGCCGGGGCGGCTGCCTCCGGGCGCCTCTGCGCCTCGGCCGCTTTCCTGCCAGCTCTCAGGAAGACACCCGGGATCTCCGAGTGGAAAGAGCTGGCATGCGATGTTTCCTGCATTGACCTAAGTCCCCCTCATGTGGGAGCGCAGGGGTCCGCCCAGTCTTCCTCTCCCGGGCACCTGGCACTGGGCGTGGGCGTCCGGGTCCTGGGCCTTGACCTCAGCCACCCGTTCCTGGGCCTCCTGGTCCCGATCCCGCCTCCCCAGCCTGCGTCCGCCCTCTTCTCCTGGAAGGAATCTAGGAGTGTGGGGGCGATTATCCACTCATTTTCACCCCAGGATCCTTTTACAGTTAAAAGAAAAGAAGAAAAAAAGTGACACCCCGTTGTCAGAAGCAGAAAACTCATTAAGGGCAACCTAATGTCACCTCGCGCAGATGCCCTGCGTGTGTCCCTGGTGTCTCAACACAGCTCTTCCATTTCCGTGCAAGGAACACGTTTTCTCAGGTTGCATTTGCAGGACTCTCATTCTTTCCAACCGGCCCTTTGGGAAAACATTGTTAACTTAACGCCAGTTTACACTGGAAATATACATTTAACAAAATCAAAGGGACTTGGAGTCACCCATTTATTTTTGGCTTGATTTAAGATGAGGAAGAGCTCTCATCAACCCTTCCTCTAGCAGTATTCATATTGCAACTGAGTTTTATCACGGTGGATTCCAGGCTTCCTCTTGTTTTCATTAAATGTGTTACTTTGTTCTTGTTCTTTAACAAAACCACGGATACTTTTATTTTTGCAACAATATAATCAGAAAATATTTGTTGCTGTTGTTCTAAATCGGAGAGTTTAACCAATTATCAAAGATTTAGATTCCTTTTATGCCTGAAGTGTTTTAAATGCTAATTTCTGAATGCAGAAGACAATATATTTGTATAAAGAATAAGTAAGATAAATAAGCATGCTCACTTTATTAGTTTTCAAGAGGGGAGAGTATTGCTTTAAGTCATTTCATCATAAAAGACATAAAAATAGGAAAAATGAGGGTACTCAGAGCCTCTTGATCAGTGTTTGTAATCCATCCCCATTTCTCCTTTCTTCTACAAAGGAATTACAAAGAAAAGCATCATTTTTATGGGAACTTGAGTATATCTATTATATTATTCTTATATTAGATGCATTCCCAATGTAAGTTTAAGAATGAGTTATCTATCCCCTCTTGAAAAAAAAAAAATAGAGGGTTAGTAGATGTGATCATCCAAAAACAGGACATTGTTTTCACAGTGGAAACCTCTGTAGTCATTAGTTTTCTTTGACATTTCCTGGAATTCTTGATTGTCTTGGCTCTCTGATATCCAAACACAGATTATCATGTGACATTAATGCGAGGCAAATAAATACTGTTTGCAAGGCTTAATTTGCCTTTGACAGTGTGTATTTGTACAGGTTAGAAAGAATGTATCCAGAATGTGCTAATTGAAATTACTGAGCTGACATCTAAACTTTGCTGGTTTGAGATAAGACTGTATTAAGTTTTCCCATTACTGTGTAAATTTAGGCCCTCTTATAAGATGGTGGTATTTTACCTTTTTGGTAATTGCATTTGTGTTAAGCAAAAGTAAAAATTAATTTTTAAAAAGTTCACTCGAGAAGCATTTTATTGAGTGCCTCTGGTGTTGTCCAGGCCAGTAAAAATAAAATTGAGTCTAATTTTTCTTGTCTTTTTCAACACTGAATAGAAATGGCTGAAAATGGGTGTGGTTCCAGAAAAACAAAGTGTGAGATATAAATGTGTCACTCCCACAATCAAAATGAATGTTGGTTGCTAGCTAGCCACAGCTTAATGATGCTTATTTGCTTGCCTCCATTGGTTTTATCACAACTAAAATATTTGCACAGTGTGTGTTGGCTGATAGCCTAGTTCTCTGTCCCTTTGTCCCTTCCAAAGTGATTATCGTCAAATCTGATCAATTAACCTTACTACATAGAAATTGACAAACTTCCCTGGAATGCTTTCATGTAATAGATGAACGTTTAACAGTGGCCATTTGGAATCAATGTTGTCTAAGGCAAAGGTGTGAGTGCTTCTGGAGGAGGAAATCTCAAAGCAACTCAAAAGTAGTAGTTCAGTGGGGGAAGATGTCTTAGGAGCAGGGAGGTAAGGTCTTTGCCCTTTGCACTACTCAGATGCTGTGTGTTTGGTGAAAAGCCTGGCCTATAGAAGTGACAGAGTTGTGCCAGGTAAACAAAGGGCACTTTATGTTTGATCCACAAGTTTTCAGTAGAGAAGGATAATGTTCCCAAGATGTTTATTGAGCTCCGTGCTATGTACAAAGCACTGCAGGGATATTCAATATAGTGCAAGACCCAAACTCTTCCTTCTGTGAATATTATTAGGTGTTTGGGAAAATGAGCTATGTAAGTAATGCCAAAACAAGGCAGTATGTTGTAAGTGTCATGTGAGTGATATAAAGTCCTATGGAAATTCAGAGCAAGAGGGCATTTGGCTGGCCATCAGTGATGCTTTGTGGAGAGGTGGAGCTGGACAGTTAAAGATGGACAGGGCTTCATTGATAGGCATGCACAGTGTAGGGCACTTCAGGAAAGGAAAAAGCTCAGGGACCCAGGAGCAGCCCTCATGGCCTGGACAGGTGCCTTTCTGAATATTTTCCTTCCTAGAGTACAGTTCAGCCATCATTCTGGTTGCGATGGAAGATGGAGACTGACTATAAGGTGGAAATATGTTTTGGGGGTCTTGGATATAGTCATGGATTGCCTTGAAGGACTGGTGACAAAGTTTAGACTTAACCTAGTAGACAGTGGGGAGCCATTGAAGATTTTTTTTTTTTGAGAAGGAGTGCAGGAATCAAAGCAAATTAAATTTAAAAAATTTAAATTAAGGCTAGCCGGATCCAGAGTTTTCAAACTGGCCAGCTGTGGACTCAATCCAGCCTATAGATACATCTTATTTGGCCGGCAGAGAGGCTTCAAAATCTTCAATACATTGCCAACACTTTAAAATGAGAAGATAAAATACAAAATTTCAAGTTACCGTAATCTCTTTAAATATTAGGAGTTCAGGAACACTGGGCCTTTTCCCCCACATGATCACTGAGCTGGATATCATGTTTAAAGCAAGCTGTGCTTCCTGCTGTAGCTCTCTTGCTTCTCTTTTCTTTTACCTACTGACTCCCATATGCATTTTTAATTTTTATGGATACATAATAGTTGTACATATTTATGCAGTCCATGTGAAATTTCAAAACATAGGCATTTAATTTGCAACCAGTGCTAGAGTCTGTCACCTCTGCTAACTAGCATACTTGGACAAGTCACTTAATTTCTCTGGATGTCAGTTTCCTTATTGGTAAAAATTAGAGTTGGACCAAAAGATCTCCAGCTTCCCTCATGCTATGTGGTTGAATAAATAAGGGACAAACCAGCAAGGTTTGTAGAGAGAATGGATAGAAGAGGGAAAATGTGGGAAATAATGGGAAGGAGGATTTGGTTGTTGGTTCTTTAAATTTATGCACATCGTTAAATGTCTAAATTCACAAGGACAAGGTCAGAAAGGTTTTTTCTGCATAGGGTGAGATGAAACTTCAGGATTTTTTATGCCCTTTCTTTGAACTTTTGATATTCAATGGCTTGGATTTTAAAGTCAACATATTTAAGGGAAAATTGATACAACTTGGCAGGGAGGAGGACAGCAAGGAGACGGACATTTGTTATGCATTTACTGTGTGACACTTTATAGCTGTTATCTCATTTGAGCCCCCCTCAACCTCGTAAGGTATGTATTATCCTCACTGCTCATGTAAGGAAACTTGTGTTAAATAACTTGCCCCGAGATCTTACAGCAAGTGGGTTTAACTGCAAAACTACTTTTATTCCATGCTTGAAGGCCATTGCTAGAAACTAAGGCTTGAAAACAATGTGGTAAGAGTCCATGTGAAGGGAAAATGATTAAGGCTTCTCTCTTGCTGGTCTTGAGAAAAATTGTGCTTTTATATTACCCTTTTATTAATTTTGCTTTGCTACCATCTATCTCTTTTCTGCTAGTAGCTGCATATGACTATCTCTTAAAGAAAGAATAGTGGAAAACTTTCAAATTGCTGGCCCTTTCCATTTCCTTCCTAAGAAAAATCCTTTTTCTATTTTGTTTTGTTCATACTTGATTTTGTTCCCTTTGTTATGTATCCAATGTGATATTTTTTCCTTTATCAGATTTTCTAGGAGATGTATGTATAAGGCAGCAAGAAGCCAAACATGGTAGCTTGCGCCTATAGTCCCAGCTACTCAGGAGGCTGAGACAGGAGGCGCTCTTGAGTCCAAGAGTTCAAGACCAACCTGGGCAGCATAGCATGATGCTGTCCCTTAAAAAAAAAAAAAAAAAAAAAAAGCAAGAAGAGAGAGGCGGAAAGAAAGAGATTATGTCAAAGCAACTGTTCAAAACTTTTGTAAATCAATAAATAAGTCCCCTGGCCCTTGTTAGAGGAACTGAGTTTTAATATACTTGTGTATGTGGCAGACCAGATATTTTCATTTAAATCTACCTGATACCCTCCTTATGGCTTGAGTAATACTACATAGTTATAATATTCACATTGAGGCAATCAGCCAAATCCAGGCTATGAGAAACTGCCAGTTTACAGCATACATGGCCTGGTTTCTTAAAAAATCATTTTGATAAGGAAAAACGGGGAAAAAATAGATAGTTGGATGACCTATCGATTAAAATAGACCTAAAAGACACAGCAGAAAAAGACACCATTTACTATAGTATTTAGGGTTTCTTAAAAAATCATTTTTATGAGGAGAAAAGCGGAAAAAATGGGTAGTTGGATGACCTATAGATTAAAATAGACCTAAAAGACACAGCAGAAAAAGACACCATTTACTATAGTATTTAGGGGCACACACTTGGGTGATAAAGCTGTAAGAAAAAGCTAAAGTGATTGCCAC